CTCAGATTTTAACACTGTGGGTCTGGATTTCAGCCATCTGATCTACCTCTGTCTATTCTTTGTTTACATCTGCAGTTAGGGATCTTCTTACATACCTTATGACTCGGACACTGTATATATGTTAGAGTTTATTTACTGAATTATAGTAAAGTGAAAGTCATATTAGGCCTAAAATGCCAATTAGAAAAATGTTTTCCTCTGCGCTGTAGGCCCAGCTTGGCTATTTCAGCTAAATTTTGCAGTTTTGTTTTCAGTTCACTACAAATTTATTTAGTGGAACATTTATTCTCTTTTCTAACATCTCATTATGTGATGGGATTCCAGCATGGTTAAAATTTAGTAGGCCAAAATCTCCATGTGGCATATGTGTATGTTGTGTCAGTTGGTTAGCTACATGTAGCTAGGATACTGTCATCAGTGTACTGAGCATGTGCAGGAATGCAGGAACTGAAATTGCACTTATTTCCTTTGTCTTGGATGAGCCATGTGGTTTGACTAGATGTACAAGTCTATATTCTGCTCATTGATTGGTTAAAGGTATATGTGGGTGTAGCTATTAATGGGAGGAGTTATAGTGCTATATAAGGAATGTACACTATGTGTTGGTCTCTCAGAATGTTGGAACAGGAGTTCATCTGAGACCCGATCGGTAATGTGAATAAAGGCCTGTTACTTCCTGAAGACCTGTGTCCAATATTTCTGTGTTTGGCTTCTGCATGCTTACACTGCAACATTTCTGGTGCAATTGGGCCGGGAACCTCATCGCACGGAAGCTGGCACAGAGATTTGAGACGGTAAACTTTTACCAAACCTTCTACGCTACAATCCTGGACTTCTACTGCGTGGACCTCCTTTCGTCTCGGCGCCACTGGCCTTTTGTCCAGGAGATCATCGGCTTCTGCGCAGTGAGTCCCGGATTGTTCCGTCTATGAGTGAACCCAGGTCCAGGACTAACAGGTGAGATTGATACCGTTAGAGCGGTAGACCCACAAGGGGTTTTATATTTGGAACCGGTTATTGGTATTGGCCCCTTCAATAGAAGGAAGAAGTGAAAAGCGCAACACTTATCTGGAAATTAGACGCTCTGTAGTCAGCCCGTCTAATATAGGTGGTTTGGGTCAGACTGAGTTCTGGTGTAAATAGCTCATGTCGGACACCGGTGTCCTGTCTTGACTAGCGTATCTAGGGTGTAAATTTTGTTCGCTAGGTCGGGGGGACCGGGAGACTAGCATACTCTGTTGTATATTATAGTTTGCTAGATTTCACCCTATCTTAACTAAGTGTGCTCTGTTGTAAATCCAGCCACTAGCTTATTGATAGTTTAATAGACTAGCTGGGTACTGTGTAAATTCTGCCCTCTAGTTCGCTATACGTGGTGTCTGGGCAGCGAAGAACTTATCGAATCTCTGGTGTATAAATAGATCGAAAGCTCTCGAGGTGCTGGCCAGTTAGAATAGTTGGGATTATTGTAAATGTTGTTAAATATATTGTAGTTGGTGAATTGGTTAACTTGTATGTCCTACTAGAAAGTTAGAGCTCTGCTGTCTAGTGGGAGTGTAAATTGTGTGTATAACTGTAAAATAGCGCACGGTACCATAACTACTGACATGTACCATAACCACTGACATTGTGTAAAAATTACTAACAATTGCTGTTTTATGTTATTTGTATAATACCATAACTGTTACTAACTGATCTGTGACTTTAAAACTGTATTATAACCACTTACTAACTGTACCATAACCACTGACTGTAAAGATGAGGTTACTAGAATGTGATATAGTTGGTTAGTCAAGAGTTGATTTATAGTACGGATAATTGTAGAGATGAATTTGTTGAAATGTTATGTGATCGGTTAGTTTATATGGATTAATAGCGTGGATAGTTGTATGGTTTGAATAATAGTTACATTGATAAGTGTATAGTCTTTGGTGGGTTTTTGATTTAATTTTGTGTGTGCGACGTCGTGATATTGTTGAGCATGTGAGGATCCTGTGTGTGTGTTTGGGCCTAGTGACTGCGCAATGTGTTGCTGGTGATAAGGAGATTGGTGTGACTGTTGAAACTGTGTGTATATTTGTACAGCTTTTTGAATCAGATGCTCTGTTGAAATAATCTTCTGATTCACAAGGCTTTGTCTTGTATGTTTAAAAAAAAAAAAAAAAAAGTGGGGAGTAGCTTGTCCTGGTGGCTGCATGGCCTCCATGTAGCAGTCTTCACTTAAATTTAGTGCAGAGTGTACATGTGGCTGTAACTAGTAGGCTGGAATTCTATGATCAGTTTCTATATATTGACTGTTGGAAACTGATTGTTGAAAAACTGCCTTGGTGAATTAAACTGTGTCATATGGGAAACAATGTAGCCATATGGTGGTCAGAACTAAGGACTTAATTACAACTGCTTTGGACATCCCCTCCCCCCCTGGCATCTGATTACCAACCCCCCAAACATCCTCCAGAGCCAGATTAGCCACGCCCCTATTCTTCTTCCCAAGCTAAGAACTGGTATAATCAGTATTTGCACTCCCCCTGCTCTACTGTCCCCGCCTACCCACATACCTATCTGTTCCTGTGTTTCAAACTCTTGTATTTCTGTACTACCCCTCCCCCTAATCAATGATCAATGGTATCAGATGGTATATGGTCTTTTTTTAGTTACTGGATGGGCCCCTCCCAGCTTTGTCCAAAATGTCCCCTTTTACTAAACTACAAACTGAGATGTTTAATTTACCTTAGAACTAAAGATTTAATCAAGCCTAGCTAGCAGGGTGGACATTGATTAAAATAAGTAATAATAAAATAGGACATAATTAATTAAAGTTTATTTGTTTCATTTGACTTTAGGGAGGCACTCTAGGCCACCTACTGGCCATCTTCGGGAGTTACATTGATAATACATTGTTTATAACAGATAGATGTAGGATTGCTTACCCTATTTTAATATATTTATTGCTATAAGGTTTTATTTTATGTATAAATATATTAAAAGTTGAGTTTTCTTATTAGACCCATAAAGATTATTTTGATACAATTACCCTCTGGTGACACCTACTGGTAGGTTTTTGGTTTAACACTTTAAAAAAAAAACAAAAAAAAAAAAAACGTTTTTTTCATCCACCAAATGCTGACTAATAAAATTATTTTACTAATCCTAGACTGGAACCTATTATTGGGCAGCCTTGCCGAAGTCCCATATTAGACACTGCTTGAGTCAAATAGGTTGTATACTCCCTTTAATCCAGAGGCCCCTGAAAACTTCCGAATGATAGACTCAGCATTTGTCAGCCAGGCCCAAGGTGATAGTAAAAGGAAATTACAGAAAATTAGAGGGATTTGTAGGGATGTCCATAATACAGCTAATGGAGATTGCAAATACAGTATATATGAATAGGGAGATGGAGGAAGAACGTAAAATGAGGAAAAAGGCAGATATGCTAGCGGTAGCTATCTTAAGTGTAGAAAGACAGGGAAGTGAATAGAGGAGACGAGAATAGGCTGAGCAAGGGACTTTAAGTAGGAATTAATGTGCGTATTGTAGAAAGGAGGGACATTGGAAGAGTGAGTGTCCACAGAGAGAGCAGTATGAAGGTGATAGACAAGGAGAGAGAAGGGTACGAGGAGGTTATAGTGGTAGTTATAGAGTAAGAGGAAGTTTTAGAGGGAATGATGGGAATAGTAGAGGAAGTGTTCAAGGAGACAGATACAATCCACCCACGCAGAGACCTAGAGAAAGAGAGGATAGAGATTTTGTGGGTCTGGCTGACACTATCATGGAAGACTATTGATACCGACTGGGCTCCATCCCACTTGGTCGAGCGGAGCCTATGGTCGATGTAGCAATAGGGGGAAAGAGAAGTTCTTTCATGATCGACACAGGTGCTGAACATTCTGTGGTGACTAAGATGGTGGCTCCGCCTTCGGGGAAGACTATAACTGTGATAGGAGCTACTGGGAGAAGTGCAGCTAGACTGGTTCTTAAGAGTCGCACTTGTATTCTGGGAGGCCATGTGGTGAAGCATTAGTTCCTATATATGCCAGAGTGTCCGATTCAACTTTTAGGACGAGATCTATTATCGAAGCTTTAAGCTCAGATAACCTTTTACCTAATGGATTAACATCTCTGAAGTTTAAGGGATTACCAGGCATAATGGTGATATCGGTGCCAAGGGAAGAAGAATGACGCTTCTATTCCATAGTGACAAGTGTTAACCCTAAGAGTGATGAATCCTTATTTGACATTCCAGGAGTATGGGAAGAAAATAATCCTCCAGGACTTGCTCGTAATATCCCACCAATACATATTGAGTTAAAGCTCGGGGTGTATCCTGTTAGCCTTTGTATGTTGTTCTTTTATCTACCCCAACAGCTGTAAAGGTGGCGGAAGTGACTCCTTGGATTCATCATTCTAAGGTTAAACCAGCAGCAGACTCTTGGCAAACTACTCCAGATCCTGAGAATCCTTGCAGGACCCGGTTGAAGCGTGCAACTTAGTCGGAGTGACGAGGGGATATTGAGACATTCTAGTTAAAAGTCTACAAAGATCATCAAGTAGGTGTTTTGACGGCCATAATAAAGCCTGACCACCTGCCTACGTGTCATAGCCAGAGTATCTTGAAGGGATCTCTGTGAAGGAAAGTGAGGATCAGAAGAACAACATCCTTGCAGCCCTCACAATCGGGAAGCTGAGAGGCCATCGCACGGTCGAAGAAAAATGAGGATTTCAGGAATAATGTGTTTTATTGTGTCTTAGTATTTTTATGATTTTTCAGGAAGGTAGGAGTACAGACATACCGAATTGCGATAGTTGCATTAAGACTACTAAAACAGGTAACCAAATATCCCAAACTCTCATCTGGCACTCACAGTATGAATGTAAGGGATCTGTATCTAAATGTAGATATTTGGATATTGATTATAGTGTGTGCAAGCCAATATCAGGAGAGTCTAAATGTTTTGATCCCCATTTCCAACCCCGTACAATTTGGTTGGTAATTCGGAATAGTAACTCCCAGGGGACATTAATAAATAGGACTGTGATAAGCAACATACATTCCACGGGTATTCTACTATTTGATGCATGTAAGGCGATTTCGGGTAGTGGAAGACTTTGGAATGTATGTGGTAATCTTAAATGGGAACGAACTTATGGGTTTAATGATAAATACTTATGTCCCAGTATAAGATCTACTGATCCTGATTGCCCAAATAGAGACTAACTTCTGCCCCTATTTGTCATGTGTAGGTTGGGCAACCTGGGAAAAACAGTGGATCAAGATATGATTATCCAAAGGTTGCCTACCACACCATACTGTAAAACTATGTGTGTAACCCCGTTCACATGACCATTTCCAATCTGCAGTACTTTATTGACAGGTTTGGAGGTCTGTTTGGGTTCCAAATATATGGCACAGGAGTAGATTCAGGAACAATAATATATGTAGGTCTTGAAACTGAGACAGTGGCAACTCAAACTCATCAGGTTTCTCATTCCTTTTATGAGGAGATGAGTACTGAGGATAAAATTCCCCATAATGTTAACAACCTATTTATTGATTTGGCTGAGGGTATTGCAGGTAGTCTTAATGTAACTAATTGCTATGTGTGTGGAGGTACTAATATGGGAGACCAGTGGCCATGGGAGGCAAAGGAAATATGGTACCCTGGCTCTGAGACATATGAACAACAGATACCTTTCCAGTCTGATCATCAAGTAAGTACTAGAAGTAAATTGGAATGGTGGTTAAAAACCTCCATTATAGGTCATGTTTGTATAGCCAAGAAAGGGACAATGTATAACACGTCTGTAGGTGAGCTAACGTGCTTGGGACAAAAAGCCTATAATGTTAATACTAAAAATACTACTTGGTGGTCAGCTTCAAATGTCTCGGAACCTACTAATCCGTTTGCCAATTACACTCATTTAAGGGAGGTATGGTTTGACTTATCGGCTACATCTAGTTGGAAAGCCCCAGCAAATTTATACTGGATTTGTGGTAATAAAACTTATTCGGAGTTACCACAAGATTGGGAAGGGGCATGTGTATTAGGTATGCCAAAGCCATCCTTCTTCTTGTTGCCAATCGAAACAGGAGAGACCTTGGGAGTTAAGGTTTACGATGTAAATCATAAAAGGGAGAGAGCATCCTTGAATATAGGTAGCTGGGAAGATGAGTGGCCCCCTCAACGTATTATTAATTATTATGGACCTGCTACTTGGGCAGAAGATGGCACTTATGGATATAGAACTCCGATTATATATGCTCAACCGCATTATTAGACTACAGGCGGTAGTTGAGATTATTACTAATGACACAGCTCAAGTGCTTAATCTTCTAGCTAAGCAAAATACCAAGATGTGATCAGCCATATACCAGAATAGGCTAGCCCTTGATTACTTACTAGCAGTAGAAGGAGGTGTATGCGGAAAGTTTAATCTAAGTAACTGTTGTCTGCACATAGATGATGAAGGGCAGGCAGTGGCTGAACTTACAAGCCACATGGTTAAATTTGAGCATGTACCTACTCAGGTCTGGAATGGGTATAACCTAAGTAGTTGGTTTGGAAGTTGGTATGAGCAGCTTGGAGGAATTAAGACATTAGTAGGAGGAGTAGAATTTATTATATTTTTTTTGTGCCTCCTCCTGCCCTGTCTAATTCCACTAGTGGTAAGGTCCCTACGTAGTATTATAGAGAGTACTATAGAGAGAAAGACAGCTGCCCATGTAATGGCTGTCTGGAAGATATGATCCCCTAGCCCGAAGAGAATATATTCAGGATGAAGAATGTTGAAGGAGTTTTTAAGATGCTTACAAGGTCTACTCTGGTTCAATGGCTACTTGAGAGATGTAGGTAAAACTGTGATTGGTGATGCATCTGGAATAATGTTATATCAGAGGCATCAAAGGGGGGAATGTGATGGGATTCCAGCATGGTTAAAATTTAGTAGGCCAAAATCTCCATGTGGCATATGTGTATGTTGTGTCAGTTGGTTAGCTACATGTAGCTAGGATACTGTCATCAGTGTACTGAGCATGTGCAGGAATGCAGGAACTGAAATTGCACTTATTTCCTTTGTCTTGGATGAGCCATGTGGTTTGACTAGATGTACAAGTCTATATTCTGCTCATTGATTGGTTAAAGGTATATGTGGGTGTAGCTATTAATGGGAGGAGTTATAGTGCTATATAAGGAATGTACACCATGTGTTGGTCTCTCAGATCCTTTGGAACAGGAGTTCATCTGAGACCCGATCGGTAATGTGAATAAAGGCCTGTTACTTCCTGAAGACCTGTGTCCAATATTTCTGTGTTTGGCTTCTGCATGCTTACACTGCAACAATTACACTATTAATATTGTATTTATTTAAAGGATCACTGTAGGGTCGGGAACACAAACATGTATTCCTGACCCTATAGTGTTAAAAACACCATCTGGGCCCCTCATGCCTCCATGAATATAGCAAAATCTTACTGTATTCAAGCCAGAAGCTGTAACTCTGCATGCTGTTTGCCTCGACAACAAAAAAAACAAGCAGTCTGCTGACATCATCAGAAGTGGTAGCCCGATCCAATCACAGTGCTTCTCCATAGGATTGGCTGAGACTGACAAAGAGGCAGATCAGGGGCAGAGCCAACATGATTCAAACACAGCCCTGGCCAATCAGCATCTCCTCATAGAGATCAATTGAATCAATGAATATCTATGAGGAAAGTTCAGTGTCTGCATGCAGAGGGAGGAAATACTGAATGTTTGGATGCATTTTAGGCAGCCATGACCCAGGAAGGATCTCTAACAGCTATCTGAGGGGTGGCCAGTGAAGTTATCACTAGGCTGTAATTTAAACACTGCATTTTCTCTGAAAAGACAGTGTTTACAGCAAAAAGCCTGAAGGTAATGATTCTACTCACCAGAACAAATTCAATAAGCTGTAGTTGTTCTGGTGACTATAGTGTCCCTTTAAAAAAATATAGAAATTTTTAACATAACTGACTTTTGACAGAGCAATGTATACTTTATGATTCACTCGTGATCATAAAAACATAATGCCCTATAAATAATAAAGATGAAATGCTGCCTAGCTTTTTTTTTTTTTTTTTTTTGGTGAGGTGGCCCTTTTATACTTCAGAGCAATTGCCATAGTGAATCACTGAATTATTTAACATGAAAGACTGTACACCGACAAAGAACGCTTTCTACAATTCTGCCACTAGGTGTCACCCTGCTTGTGCAATTTACAGATGAGGACAAGCAGAAATAACCAGTATTGTAGGTAATAAAGAAATATTATAAAATAGGTAAGCTAAAACAGTTTTTGTGCATTGGTGTTTATCAATTTGGTTATGTGAGCACTAATAAGAAATAGTGCACGTATACGTGTATTATATTATATTATATTATATTATATTATATAGAACATGAAGTGCGTAGATTACCTAAATCCCAAATTTGTCCACTAGGTGTCACTCTACTTGTGCAATGTTGATGTCTAAGGCTAAGCTAATAGAAATATATTAATATTCTGAAGTTTATTTGCTCATATTGATCTGTCATGGGACAGAACTGGCAGATGGGCAGATGTCTATTTTTGTTTGATCTGCTGTTAATCTTCTCATCCATTTTTATCCAGCCAACCCCGGACACACTGAAGTGGGGCATACATATAAAGCTTTGAGTCAGGATGTTCACTCTAGACTGCCCAAATCCCATCATTCCTGCATCAGAGACGTCAATCCATGCAATCCAAAATGGCAACTATGTCCCTGCTAGTTCATAGTTCATTATAGCTCATTAGATGACTCCTCAGGTATTGAGAAAGGTATAAACACAAATTTCTCTCTCTCTCGCTCTTTTTTTCATTTGTAATTGCTCTTGCATAAACTGAAGATGCTGAAATAAAGGTGATTTATATATTTTTTCCAACATTGTATTTGACACTTTCCTTTTGCTACAAATAAACTGATAACTGAACGTGTACTGTATAGAGAGCCCAGACAAAGCCCAGTACAGATTACTGGCAATGGGTAATATGAGATGAGGACCTAGTACCCTTCACCAAAAGGCATGTCCAAGCCCTGTTTCATCAATCTAAATAGCTCTATGATGGAGAATTGGGCATTTCTGGAGAAAGGGAAAGGTGATCTGGAGCGGCGAGTTAAAAGCTTAAGAAGTTGGGGAAAAAAAGCAAAATGAGGCTGCCTTTTGACCAGCAAGGTGCCTTAACTTTTGCAAAAAACAAAACACACAACTGTGTACAAAACTAAGAGTCTGACTACCTAATAGGGATTGACAGATTATCGGTTTTACCGATATAATCGGCCGATATTCGGTATTTTTGGCAATATTGGTATCAGCCAATTCAGATACCGATATTGCCGATAATACCTCCTAGGACCGCCAGGCTCATTACATACCCGGCGGTCCTGGGGGTCGGGCAGCAAGCGCATACTCACCTCCCAGCAGCTCCTCCAGCTCCCCGGTGTAACTCTCGCAAGACATACACTGGGGAGCTGGAGGAGCTGCTGGGAGGTGAGTAAACGCTTGCTGCCCGCCCCCCACAGCTCAGGAATGCTATATCCCCCCTCCCTGGCCAGGCAACAAGCAGGGAGGGGGGACAACAAAAATAAATAATAATTAAATCTAAAAAAATTATAATTTAATAAAAAACACCCCCTCACACACACACTCCATTATATACACATACACTACACAAACACACTGCATTATATACACACACTATACAAACACACTATATACACACTACACAAACACACTGCATTAGATACACACTACCCAAACACACTGCATTATATAAACACTATACAAACACACTGCATTATATACACATACACTACACAAACACATAATGCAGTGTGTTTGTATAGTGTGTGTGTATATAATGCACACTACACAAACACACTGCATTATATACACACACTATGCAAACACACTGCATTATATACACACACTATACAAACACACTGCATTATATAAACACACTGCATTATATACACACACACACTATACAAACACACACACACTCCATTATATACGCATACACTACACAAACACACTGTGTATATAATGCAGTGTGTTTGCAATTAATGCCAATTAAGCCTGTGATTAGACTGCGCGAGGCCCATGTAATGTTAGAGGAGGCCCAGCAGTCAGCACTAAGAGCTACCCAGTTTTTACTGCAAATCGAGGAGAGAATCCTTCTCCATA